TTTTTTAAGAAGGGTTCTTGATGCAGTAAATCATTTATTTATATTTATTAAATTTCTGGGCACTGTGACTTGATTATTTGGGAGCTTTATAGACCTTATTTTTTTGTCGCTAGTGTTCGATTAGAGGTATATTGTTCTCCCTTATTTTATTCCTCTTTTTATCTTATAGTTATTTTTTTTCACGGATAACATAGTATTGTTGTTGATATGACTATTACTAAAGGACTTGAGACTCTTACTGTTGACACTTCTACCGTTGAGACATTTATTGGTACTTTTATTTTTATGTTTGACCAATATACAGTACTTATTGACACAGTTGCATTACGAGCACTGCATACATGATCTCTCAGAAAGTTATGGTATAGTTGTTGAACGACCGTAATTTCGTTGAGTGGTCTTGCTCATTCCAACTTTTCTTAGGCCGTGTAGAGAAGCTTGGTTGGCTGACGGGATCTCACTCAAAGCCAATTGATGACAACTCTGGATATTCTACGTGGTTCTTTGAGAACTGCGCTATTTTTAGATGATTATTTAGCTCGATGGGGCCACATTTTTGCAGGATTCACCAATTTTATAGTTCTATTTTCAAGCTATGGAGCACATTATCAGAGATGTATTCACAGCTAGGACGCGGAGTTTGCGTTTATGAGTTTTCTTAAGAGCTCTCATATGCTCGACAGGGAGATTTGACCGTTCAGGATTATTAAAACTATTTGACCCAGCGATGACTTGAGTATGAGACTCTACATTCTCTTACTATTATTCTGAGGATAGAGCCTGATGAAATAGTATTCTTGCGCACTCGAGAGTAGGAGGATAGGATTCACAAGTTTTTTATGGGACTTCGTGATGAGTTTGAGGGACCTCGTCCCTAGATCTTGTCAATGTCGACGCTTTTTTCTTTTTATAAGGTGTATGCAATGATTGAGTAGCATGAGCGCCGCGTATGTATTGCATCACTTTTAGTTGCTGCCTTGACTCCTTCAGCTGATCATATGACCCTTGCAGCTGCTGCAGGGTCTTATTCAGGATCTTCAGTCAGGGGTGGACAATGCTTGGATCAGTGCCGTTAGGGTGCCCTAGATCAGCGCAGACAGGATAATTTTAGTCAGTGTGATTTTTATAGCCGACTGGGACATCTTAGGGCTGCTTGCTGGAAGCTCCATTCAGAGCTTAAACAGCCTCCTCATAGCCATACTGCTGCTATTGCCGAGATACCACCATCTACTACCGTAATTGCTTCTTCTTGACAGAGTGATATGAATGCTATCACTTTCAATTGGATATACTTATGTCCGCTCTGACTTCTCAGAGTCCAACTACTGTTGATGTCACCACTATAGGTATACCTCGTGTTTTTCATTCTTGTGTCAGTCCGTCTCCTCTTTGGATGCTGGACTCGGGTGGGAATGATCACATGACAGGTTGAGGCCCATTACTTCACCATTTTGACGAGTAGTTACATACACAAGTTTAGTTAGCAGATGAAACATATGCCCTTATTGTTAGTAAGAGTGCAGTTCACCTCCTAGATGACTTTACATTATGTTCGATTTTTCATGTGTCAAAATTGACCATGAATCTATTATCTGTACATTAGTTTGTCAAGATTTTCACTGTATAGTTGTGTTCTTATCTGATTCGTGTTATTTACAGGACTTGAGTACTAGGAGGATTATTATCAAAAGACATGAGAGAGATAAATTGTATCATCTAGGCGATCTACCTCCAATTTTACCAGTTCCTCCACTAACATCACCTTTGTTTTTATCTGTTCCTAGCATAGATGCTAGTATTTTACCTAGTAGTTGTCATTATGATTTTTTATCACAAACTGTTCATTTATGACATGACCATTTTGGAGATACAAATTTTAAATATTTATATATGTTGTTTCTTGCTTTGAGCAATACTTGTGTTGGTGGTAAACTTGATTATATTATATGTTCCTTATTGAAACATGTTAGGACTAGTTATATTCCTCGCATGCACCAGTCACCTAAGCCATTTGACCTACTACATTATGATATTTGGGGACTCCTTCTGTTACTGCTTTGTCAGATGCTCGATACTATGTGATATTATAGATGAGCATACCCGTTGCACTTGGGTCTATCTTTTGCATAGGAAATTCGATGTACTCCTCCTATAATCACTCAGTTTCTACAGATGATTAAGACACAATTCGATGTCATTATTCGTGCTCTTCGTTCAGATAATGCCAAAGAATATGTGTCTGATGCCTTAGTGTCTCACCTTTCTTCTCAGGGTATTCTTCAGCAACTCACTTGTTCATATACTCCTGAGCAAAATTGTGTTACTAAAAGGAAAAATAGGAGTCAAATAGGGATGGTACGTTGTATGCTTAGAGACATGGGGGTACCAAAATCTTATTAATTTTTTCTGTTTTGACTTCTATCTTTCTGTGCAATTGTACACCGAGTTGTGTTCTTCAGCATAGAACTTCCTTACATGTCTTATTTCCTAAGTGGACAGGTCTTATTTCCTAAATGGACACTTTTTTCGATCCTTTCTTGTATTTTTGGATGTACATATTTTTTTCAGGATCGATCTCTTACTTACCATAAGCTTGATGATAAAATGATTCGTTGTATCTTTATGGACTATTGTCATCAGTCTAAGGGGTATCGGTGTTATGATCCTATTAGGTGTCGTATGTAGCATAATCTAGATGTTACCTTTCTTGAGCATATTCCTTATTTTTCTTTCAATTCTCCTATGTCTGCCCCTCCAGTTGATGATACTCCCTTTGATTTTTCAGTACCACAGGAGCTAGAGCCACTGGTCACTATAACTACAGAGTCACCAGTTTCTTTTCCTTTGTAGGTTCGTCGCCCTCGCTTTCATCCCCTTATTGATGTCCCCTCTATTTCAAGCAATGCAAGTAATACTTCTCAGTTCATTGAACATATTGATGCACCTGTTGTTAGTACTGATGAGATTGCAGGTACTGAGCCAGTTACTTTACCTGATGAGACATTATTAGTGAAGAATGATGATTTAAGGTGTCGTTATTCGAGGCGTAATCGTCATCGAGTTATTCGTTATGATTGGACCGCTAAGATTTTATATTCGATCTCTGCTTATGTTTCTTATGGTGATATGTCTCATATATTTCTAGCTTATAGTATGACCTTATCAGATACGCCGATTTCTCGCTCTGTTTCAGAGGCTATGCGAGAGCCCCAGTGGGTTCTTGCCATGCAGATGGAGATGGATGCTCTTCAGTATAATCATACGTGTGATCTTGTTTCTTTACCTTTAGGGGTGAATCCTGTTGGATGTCATTGAATTTACACCCTCAAGTTTCTTACAGATGGTACTATTGATCGTCACAAGGCTAGGCTTGTGGCGAAGGACTTTACTCATGTATCAAGTCATGATTTTGGTGCTACGTTTGCCCCTGTGGTAAAATTGACCACTGTTCAATTGATTATTTCTCTGGCTATGGAGTACTTTTGACCTCTTTATTAGTTGGATATGAAGAATGCATTTTTTCACGATGATCTAGACGAGATTATTTATATGGATGCACCACCGGACTTTTATGATGAGGGAGAGTATGTTGGAATGGTATGTCGACTGTGTAAGTCTCTTTATGGACTGAAACAGTCACTACGAGCCTGATTCTCTCGCTTTAGTGATGTAGTTGTATATTTAGGGCTCACCAGATGTCATTCTGATCATACCTGCTTTATTCGACATAATACTTCTAGAAAGTGTGTCATCCTTTTGATATATGTTGATGATATTATTATTATTACAGGTGATATTTTTGGGACTACGCAAGTCAATATAGATCTTGGGAAGGCCTTCGATGTAAAAAACCTTAGATTTTTGCGATACTTTCTTGGGATTGAGGTTTCCCGTAGTAGTAGGGGTATTGTTCTTTCTCAGAAAAAGTATATTCTGGATCTTCTCTCAGATACTGGGATAATGGGGTGCAAACCGGTATCATCACCCATAATTTCAAACCTGAAACTTACTGCTGAAGGAGAGGAGTTGAGAGATCCGATTGTCTATCAGAGGTTGGTAGGTTGACTTATCTACCTAACCAATACTAGGCCATACATTTCATTCACTGTCAGTTGAGTTAGTCAGTTTACGCACAGACTATGTCAATCTCATCTTGATGCAGTTTATCATATTCTTCGGTACCTTAAGTCTTGCCATGGACTTAGGTTGTTCTATGCATCAGAATTTCATATTGGTTCTCTAGCCTGTTATTCAGATTCAGATTATGGGAGAATGTCTAATGGTCGATCTACTATGAGCTTCTGTGCTTTTCGAGGGACTTATCTTATCTCTTGGAGGAGGAAGAAACAGTCAGTTGTCTCTCGCTCATCAGCAGAGGCAGAGTATCGGGTATTGTCACTTGACACATGTGAGATTATTTAGCTACGATCGATTATTGGTGAGTTGAGATTTTTAGTGACTTCTTCATCTACATTATATTGTGATAATCGATCTGCTATTCAACTCGCTTCTAATTCTGTATTACACGAGAAAACGAAGCATATAGAAACGATATTCACTTTCTTCGAGAGAAGGTTAACAGTGGTATTGTCACTCCATTGTTTGTGGGGACTATTGATCAGGTTGCATATATTTTCACCAAACCTGTCACTCTATCCATTCTTCAGGACTCCGTTGTCAAGCTTGAGTTAATTGACATTTTTGCACCTAACTTGAGGGGGAGTGTTGAAGATATAATGGCCTAGTTTATTAGGATTTATTAAAATTTTTCCTTTTTATTTTTTATCCTTAGTGTAACTTTTATTAGTTATATATACGGAGATTCTACACTTAGTTTGTATCTTTTTTACTTACAGATATCTTTAGTTAAATAAACATGCAAACTGTGATCCCAGATTTGCATAATCTAATCTACAGAGAGTACGGCTAAATGCTCCCAGCCATACCCCTGTGATACATATAAATTGGTTCCCCAAAATGGTAGCTCATTAAATATTTACCTTATATGTTGGTTCTAACTTGTCCTTGTACTTGGTATTCAAAAGATCTTCCTTCACAGACAATGTGCTTTCTACCACATACTCTGTTTCAAACTTAGTACAAGATGGTCAACAAACAAATTATCACATGAATACACATACGAGAGAAACCTACAACTGTCACATTCAATGAAAGGATTGTAGTTATACCTGCAACACTATATGTGGGTACAAAGTTTGGCCTTTTCGGATGAGTGGATCAAGAGTAACGATAACAAACGTGTGTGGTTGGATAGACTGCACATTGCATAAACATTGAAGAATCAGTTTTATGGTGCATTTTTCACAACACAATTGGTCAATCGACTGCAATAATTAATCAGCGCAGACTATGAACAACTCGAGACATCTTAAATTGAGTAAACTTCGCAAAAGACACAGAATGCAATCAAGATTTTTTTGATGGCTAGGCATAATCAAGAGATTCATATTGATATATATGCGAAGCAAAAAAAATTAAGTACCTTAGGCAGTAGAAAAAGACGAACAACACTGCTGTACTGAATTTTGAAATCGTTTGCTTGTCCTTGGAGCCGCAAAAATGACAGATGAAGTTCAACATTGTATCGGCACCTGGGAAAAGAGAGACACTTGCATGAAACAATTTGAACAAAAGACGAGAAAAGTATTTGACAAAGAGTGGATCAATGAGACCAACTAGGGTGCCAACACCTACCTTGGAGTAAGTATTGCAATCCCATCAAAAGTAACAACAACATCTTCACCTCCTGCGCCAACATCCGCCATTGACATGATTTTGTCAGGGAAGACCTAATGGAAAGTAACCTTGACATCTCTAAACAAGTTTTTGATTGATACTTATGGAGTTCCAACAGAATCCACTAGAAATTTACCTGAGCAGGAGGACGACTTTCACCACCAACAAACTGTGTGTTTGAATTGGGTATGTGAAAACTTATCTCCATAAGTGAATCTTTTTGTAATCATGATGGAAAAACAAGAATTGAATCTAGAGAAGACAACATATACCAACCCTCAAGCTTTATATTATACCATGACGACACAAGTCATTCTCAAAACGTAAGTAGGAATTGAAAGCAACCTCGTTGGCCCCAGTTGTATCATCCACATGGAACTCCAACATGACATCATTTTTCCCCTGAAGTTGTGTTTGGGAGACATCTGCTAAAGATACTTCAAATGCTTGTCTTGAATCAACAAGAAAACTAAGCATATTGCCTGGGAAAAGAAGACATGGGTGAGTTTAATCTAAAAAAGTGTTGAAATACATACGCAAATTGATGAACCAATGCTGAAATCAAGATAAATTAGCTTTAGTGCCAATGACAAAATCATGCAACTAAAGAAGCCTATAGACTATAAGAATGCATAAATTAAAAGGAAGCTTGTGCATGTCATCTATACATAGATAAGGCATGAAATCAACTGAGATATTGTCGACTCTCTTCTACATAAACATAGTGCACCAGTACAATCAACTTATTAAATTATGCAAGAGAAGTCTTAATAAACTCCACCAATTGTGACAAAACTACCAATAGCAAAGGAGTCGACTGACCATTTAAATCCACTTCTCCCCAATTTTTTCCACTAACAGAAAGTTGCTTTTCTTCCGGTGCTAACCCACAAGTGTTCTGGAAAAAATTAGTCAGACTGGTGACATCCTGCGAAGACATTCTGGTTGCAACATATGAAAGTAAGCATGTTTCTAGAAATGTAAATGTTACAATAGGAAACAAAACAAGGTAAGTAACGTGGTTTCAAGTGATTTTAACATTAGAATGACAAACTTTATCGCATAATGCTAGCGTATTAGAATTACAGGAAACAGAACGCAAGAAATAGTTTGGTTTCGAGAAATTTTAACATTAGAATGACAAAGTTACGTTATTGCATAAAGCTAACTTTTTCCATGCACTACAACAAAAATTATTTTTTGTAACGCTTTTCTTCATCGCTAAATTAAAAAAAAATCGTCGCAAATAATTTTTTGCGAAGATTTTTTTCGTCACGTGTTCTTCGCAATAACCTCGTCACAGAAAGTATTTTGCGATGTAAATTTATTTTTATCGCAAAAAAAAATTTTGCGACAAAAAAAATAACGTTGCCAAAATTAACAAAAATGTAGCTAAAATCTATTCCACCAGCGAAAAAATGTAAAAAATAATAATTTAAATAATTTTTTGCGACGTAAAAAAATCTTCGCCAATAAATTTTTACATTAATAAAAATGTAAAAAATAATAATTTAACTAATTTTTCGCAACGTAAAAAAATCGTCGCAAATAATTTTTTACATAAATAAAAATATAAAAATAATAATATAATTATTTTTTTTCGACGTAAAAAAATCGTCGCGAATAATTTTTTCATAAATAAAAAATAATAATTTAATTAATTTTTAACGACGTAAAAAAAACGTCGCAAATAATGTTTTACATAAATAAAAAATATAAAAAATAATTAAATAAATACATTTGCGACGTATAAAAAGCGTTGCGAAAAAGTTTGTTCCTACAATTTTTCGTGACGATTTTAATTTGGTCGCAAAAAAATTCATTTTTTTTAAATTCATAAAAAATGATACCATTAAAATTTTTCACCTGTACACTAATAATACATGTGTTAAATAAAAAATTAACACAATTAATACATTTCATATCTTTTTTTAAAAAAAAAATTTATTTCCAAAAAGGATAAATTACAAGAATCAAAGAACAAATAGTTCTAAAAGTATGAAAAATGGCTTAAATCCTTCAAGATAGACTAAACCATTTTTAATTACAATCATGAACCCCCCCTGATTGTTGAAGAGACTCCTGCCTGCAGCTCCAGCTCCAGCTCCATGCTCAGAATCAGACAGATGCAGAGTTCAGTGCAATCCATGACAGTTCCAGTGCAGTCAAATGATCATTCAGATTTGGAACAAAATATACTATAATCCAGCTCCAAGCATTCCCCCAGCTCCCTGCCTTCTAAAGATAGGAGAAGATCCTGCAGTCCAGCTCCATGCCTTGAGACTAACAGCTCCAAGCTCAAAAGCAAACCAATGCAGCACTCACAAGCAGACCAGAACATACAGAAATCACAGACCAACTGCCTAAACAGACAATATCTATGCATTTCAGTACCTGACTCTTTATAACAGACAACACCCTCTGAATTCTCAACAGTCAATTGCCTAATCAATGAAAAACCCTTCTCAGCAGACTGCATCATCACAGATGCTACATCTAAACAAAAAACTCTGCCTTGACCATCTCTGGTATCCACCTTGTTCCTGCACAAATTTCAGAAACAGCAGGGATTTTCTGATGCAACACCAGTCTGCCTGATCTGACAGACACCACCTTCCCTCACTTTGCAGAAAACCCTGATGCTCTTTACATCCTGCATTCACCTTAACCTCTAGCTCTTGGATCACTAATTGAAATTCTTTTCAACCTAGCAGAAGGTATATTACACTGATCCTGAAGTAAAAGTAATCTTCCAGTCAAAGGCAGAATGCCACTGACTGAAAAATCAGTGTAAACTCCAACTTGAACTGCCAATGATGCCAAAAAATTAGCTTCAACAGTCCAGCTCCATGCGTTGAAATACCATCTCCATATCGTATCAAGCAAAAGGGCTCATTGAAAGTCATATTCCTCAATGACTCGGAGATTACGAGGGGGTGAACTACAACATACAAATAGTATCATAAGCAAGAAATTAAATATTCCAATTATAAAAATAACCAGCCAAATAATGCCAACATTAAACCATGAGAATAACATTAGTAAACATACTGGTGACTAGAAGAAAAGAAAGAAGGCAACTAATCTCAATTTTTCCAGGTGCAACGACCAAAAGATCAGCCCACCTCAGCTTTCAATATCCGTACAATTATAGAAAACAAAGTTTTAACACGCCAGAGGTGCTATTAGGTGGCTAATTCAGTAAAATACGGATGTGGATGTGCATAATTTACAGTAAGAAAAGAAAATAAAAGAAACTAATTAGGACAAATGTAAAACTTGCACACGAGACTCTTTAGTCAACAGGGGAAAATGGGCTCAAGCCTACCAAAGAAAGATATTTTAAGTCCATATGCAAACAATACATGCAAATACTCTAATTGAGGTGAAACCTTAGCATGTTTACGGCTCAAAGGTGATCGTGCATAATGAGATGATTAAAGCTTACTCAAAACCTGGAGAGGCGTTTCCATAATGCATAAAAACATGCAAGTTTGGAATGGTGTTTGTAAGTAAAGATGGGCTCATAAAGCCTTTTTCACGTATAACTAATAACAGGGAACATGTTCAATGCAAAGGGGTGGAAGTCTAGAAATCTTTTGCCCAAAAATCAACACTAACACTTACGATGGTGTCAGCATCAACATCCTCACACAGACAAATGCAACATCCCATCCCAGTAATGGAAAAACCTTAAACAATTATATAAGAACAACAATATTATAACCTTTATCTACTGCATTCATTGTTCTCGTGAAGGTTAGCATTCTTATGACTGTTTTATTTGCCGTAAAAAATCTTCGATTCCTGCCATTTCAGGCTTCAAAAAAAATTGGGAGGGAATCACTTTTTTGTGACGTATTTTGCAAACGTCGCCATTAATATATTAAATATATTTTAAAATTACAAAAATTAACTTCTGCGATGAAAATAAAAGCATCGCAAAATAATAATTTTATTTAATATAAAAATAAAATTTATCTTCTACGACGAATTTATAAAAATATCGCTAATTACTATTAATATTTCATTTTTCGATTATTTATTTTTGCGATGAATAAAAACTATCTGCGACAAAAAATTATTTGTCGTAAAAAATCCTCAATTCCTGCCATTTTTTTGTGCAAAAAAAATTAAAAGGGAATTACCTTTTCACGACGTTTTTCAAAAACGTCGCCATTAATATTTTAAGTATAATTTAAAATTAAAAAATTAACTTCTGCGACGAAAATAAAAACATCGCAAAATAATAATTTTATTTAATATAAAAATAAAATTTTTCTTCTGCGACGAATTTATAAAAACGTCGCTAATTACTATTAATATTTCATTGTATTTTTATAACTAAAATTTATATTATGCGACGACAATTTTAAACGTCGCAAATTATATATTTTGATTTTTTTTTTTAATTTTAATTTTAGAATATTTATTTTTGTGACGAATTGAAAATTTGTGAAAAAAAATTTTTGTCGTAAAAAAACTTCAATTCCCACCATTTCTCGAGCCAAAAAAAGAGGGATGCAATAACCTTTTCGCAATGTTTTTCGAAAAACGTCGCAAAAAAATTATCAAAAAAATAAATTTGCGACAAAATTAGGAAATCGTCGCGGATAATACACTTTTTGCAACGAATTAAGTTTCGTTGCAAAAAAAAAAAACGTCGTAAAAAATAATTGTTGATGTAGTGATGACTCATGGAGGTAACAACTGTGCCAGTTTAAGGCAAAAATGCTCTCTCTCTCTCCACCAAAAAAAAACAAAAACAAAAATACGAAGTGGGGGTGACCGGTAACTTGGATCTCCCTCTCCTTCCTCCTTCTTCTTCAACTATGCAAAAAAAAAAAATCTCTAATTGTCCCATCCCTTCTGCAAAACATTGACGATCACGGTAAGCATCATCATCTGCTGATTTCTTTACCTCCATGCATCTTTAGCGACTTTATAATGCGTTGGATGAAAACAACTAGAATGATGATTGATGAGGCTTCCCAGTTTTTTTTTTCATTGTCTAATTTCCCTCTTATTCCTATTTGTTGACTTCATATCATTTTGTTGGCAAGGACTTTTGTTCCAATAAATATGGGTACGATTACGGTTCTAATAGAATAGCATTCACCATAACATGGATTCGCCTAAACAAAACACCCCATGGTAACTGTGTTAACCAAACACAACAACAATTTCCGCCCTCTACTCCAACGATTGGGCCATTATCGAGTGCAACGATGAAAATTATAAGAAAGGAGAAGGAGAAGAAATCGCATCCTCCGCCTAGCAATAGGTTTTACAATCCAACAATGCAGTAGTGAGCAAAGGACTCGATCAAAAAGATCTGGCAGTATGAAGAGAAATCTGAGTTTTTGTTGGCCCTTCATATGCAACTCTGTAACTTTAACCACATTAGCACTCTTCAACAAGATCTTCTATTTACCTCCCACCAGGAAAAAAAAAAAAAGAAAGGAAAATTTTGAGGATTTTGTACTCTCAAAGGCACATAAGCTTACAACAAGACAAAGAACTCAATTCAATATCTTTTGCATACAATTATATTTTTTATTGAAATAAAACTGAAAAAAACAAAGAAATGGTCAAACTGTAATAGAGATGATATCTTCTACCTTAATTGGGATAATTTAGTTATTTAATAGATTCGGTTAATTCTTCAATATAATATTTCAAACTAGAGATGTCTAAATGATACATATTTATAAATTTTAGGGGATCTGAGTATAATTTATTAATGAATATACTTAACGTACATTAACAACATAGACCTAAGTGTTATGCGAATATAAATTTTAGGAAATTTATATAAAATATTTCAAATGTCAAGGAATTTGTGTATAGTATTTCAAATGTCAGGAAATTTAAGTAATTAAGTGATAAACTTCAAGAGAGTTTGAGTGTAAATTTCCTATCATAATTTATACCTTAAGT